CACGGCTACTGAATTTTACTGTTGATATAAGTTGATATAGCTGTCTTCTATCTCTCAGCATGATACGCTGTTCAAACCACTGTGGTAATGTAGGGGCCTTACTAATTTAGTAGGGTTTTGGGGCCTTATTATGATTATAGTATAAGGGCCCCGAAACCCTATTCTAATGATTAAGGCCCCTACATTACGAACATGGTCGCTGCTGTTTCGGTGTTGCTGTGTGGAAATTGCAACTTCAGACCTCATGGATCCGAAAAAATCCTAAACTGTGCCCAAAACATCAAGGAAGCTCCAAACCCTAATCTAACCTAAAAGCCGTATGCCCTGAAACTCTAAACCCTCTACCCTAAACCCGAAAATCCCAAGCATTAGTAGTGTTTGGATGTTCAGCTGATCTGAATCTGAACTTGTTCAAAACTTATGCGGCTTACTATTAAGGGGTTTCTAGAGGGTTTAGGGCATGGTAGGGTTTGAGGCTTTCGGGATAAAGCGTTTTTCAGTTGTTTTTTTTTTTTATGGTTATGGGACATGCAAGGCAACTTCAGCCTTTTGACACGATGAAGGGAGCAGATCGGAGAAGCCTGTCAGGCCCGCACAGCTACTGAAATCGTGTTCCTGATTCCTCTACCGAAGCACTAGTTGCTCACGTTGAGTCTGCATCTATCCATACAGCAGGTAGACCCCACCTAAACCCTAAACCCTGAACCCTAAACCCCACAACCCAAAACCCCTGAACCCTAAACCCCAAAACCCCTAAACCCAAAACCCCTAAACCCCTAAACCTGTAAACCCCTAAACCCAGACCCCTTGAGCCCTAAACTACACCGCTCGAAGGCACAAGGGCCCGGGCCCACTGTTGATGATATAAATCCTGCATTACCTTAAGGCCCCTAAACTCTGAGAACTACGGTATATTCCTGATTCTGGGTACTGCAGGATTTATATCATCAGCCCTAAACCCTAAAACCGCAGATTTATCTCATCAACCGTAGGAACTTGGAACCTTAATGGGCTGCGCTACAACGCCCAACTCCGAAGGAGCCCATCGCCAGTACAAGGATGTCGCGCCAGAGGAGTCTCGGCTTAAGACGTAAACGGTTTAGGGTTTAGGGTTTACGGGTTCCTGGGCCATTATGGTTTGGGGTTCAGGGTTTTAGGTTCTATTGGCTTCGAGCTCAGAAACGGTTTAGGGTCTTTGGGCCATTATGGTTTGGGGTTCAGGGTTT